AAATATATATATATATATATTGGGTACCTTATTTTGATAAATTGGAAGAATAAAAATTTATTGTAACTATCATTTAGAGTTTTCCTTATGTTCTCTTTTTATTTTTGTGATGACAACATTGAATGTCATGAAATGGGTTGTGGGCTTTTATTTTGCAATGTTTGTATTTTTGTCATTAAAAGAAGTATATAATATTGGTTTGGCTTTTTCTCCTTAATTTTTTTGTTATACTCCTTCTACAGGACATTACCATTTCAATGACCAACTTTAATTCTAGTTAAATGCTCATTAATATTCTATTTCTTTTGTGTAGAATTAATTCTCAAAATAGTCATCTGCCTATTCATTTATGGCTAATTGAATCCAAAGTATCACATTTCTACATATTAGAGTCTATTTGGGCCACCTGCAGCTTTTAAGTTGTTGCGCAGCTGCAGGTGTAGAAGAAGATGTTGCGGGGAAGCTGTTGTTGGTGAAGTTGTCTTTGTTTGGTTAGTTGCGTTGTGCAGCAGCTATATTGCAGATGTTTCTGAAATAAAGATTGTATTGCCCTTATGTACTTGTGTTGTTTGTAAGATAATCAATTCAGGATTAATAACTCATACATAACTACAGAAACAAATTTCATAAATTCTCAAAAATCACGAGTTCAATTATTACATAAAAAAGTTATAGATCACTTTGCAGTGAGTAACACAATAATTAAACTAAAAAATAAAATAACAACAACAACAAGTAATATTATCATAATGTTACTTTTAATAGTAATTTTAAAATCCAAACAATCAAACCTACTAGATAACTTTTTTTCTAAAGATACCCCACACATGATTACTATCCGAAGTGGGCTCCTCGAACTCATCAACTCATCTTAAGAAATCATAGTCATTTGTTGATCTATTCTTTGGACATTTATAAAATTCTCCCATAGCTAATTTCTTTTCGTGATGTAAATACACAACATTGTAATCCATAGTTGCAGTATTTGACTCTAAAAATAGAAGTCTTTGAACTCATATTTTCTAATATGTTAGAATGTAATAAATAAAATGTGCTTCTATTACTAAATAATGATAAAGTTATAAGAAAAACTAACTGATGAGAATAACAATACTACAATGATAAAGTTCAATAAAAGGATGAGGTCTACAAACAAATACAATTTAATAATTAATCAATCATTATAATAAGATAAAAGACCTAAAAATAAAGGAATTTTTGTTGGCTTTAACAAACTAATACTAAACTCGTATATGTCACAGAAGCATATTGACATAAAGACCCTCTAAAAGAATTCCTAAGGTCATATGACTAAAAATGAAGGGGATCTTGGTTTTCCTTGATACCAAACTCATATATGTCATAAACTATAGAACATAAAGATCATCCAGAAGAACCCCTAAGGTCATATATCTCATCATAGACCTCCAAATCAAAAGACTTACAAAAAAACATTATGTGTGTGTGTATATTTATGAAATCATCCACATATCATCAAAAAGACATACCAACTTTCCAGCTCACAGGGAGTTGGAAAGTTGGTTCGCTAGATGGTCGTCACGTTCTCATTCAACTCTCAAATGACGCAGATTATACTCAACTCTTTGCTCAAAAAGTTCGCAAAATCGATAATCGCTTTATGAAAATTCTGAAATGGACAGTGGATTTTGATCCTAAATTGGAATCTCCTATTATCCCGGTTTGGGTTAATTTTCCAGGGCTCAAGGTGCATCTCTTCAATTATGAAACCCTTTATACATTGGCAACTGCTTTTGGGAAACCGCTGAAGGTCGATACTCCCACGTTTGATACAACTAGGCCATCTGAAGCTTGTGTGCTTGTAGAGCGCGACATAACTCAACCCTTTCCAGGGGAGATTTGGATTGGCTCCCCTCATCAGGGTTATTGGCAGAAGATTGTGATGAGACCTCATCCCCAATACTGCCCTCACTGTGGAATGTTTGGTCATAGCTTTTCATCCTGTTATCGGTTGCATCCCATCTAGGGTCGGCTGTAGCCCCACCTCCTGTTTCTCAGCACATTTCTGCAGAGGTTATACCCTCTTCCTCACTGCCTGTGATACCTACTGCTATGGCCATGGCGGATACGGTGCAAAATGGTTTGTCTACTGATATTGTTTTGGAAAATGTTGATAAGGGTCGATTGTTGGAGGAGAGTCAGGTGATTGCCCCTGGAACGCAGGACACGGTTGTCTTCTTCTACTGGAGTGTATATACTATCCTCTCAGGCTCTACCTATCGAAGAGAGTGCTCAGTCTCCCCTCTATGAGGGATAGGGATGAAGCGAACATTCACATTCAAATGACGAAAAAGGTGTCTCCTAATACTAATGAGGAAGATTTAGAGCCAAACACAAACCATCTTACTGCTATTAATCAGTTGGTAAAACTACCTGTTGAGAGAGCAGGTGTTTCCCAAGTATTGGAAGACTGTCCTAAACAAACTCAGGAACTCATTGCTGCAACTGTCTTTCCTTTTACGGATCAGACTGAACAGTCTTCAGAAGAAGAATAGCAAGTTTACACTTCTGGGCGGAAGAAAAAGGCTGGGGACACTGTCCAGCTTGGAAACTTAATGGATGATACATTGGTCACTCCTGGCAATGGAACAACACTTCAGAGTTTGCTATCTGGATCCGCTCCAAGAACCAGAGGAAGAGGCAGGGCCAAACTATTTGTTTTTGCATGTTTTCCTTTTTTGAGTCTTTTCTATCTTTTTGTTGGGATATCTTTGTACCATGTATCGTATGAGTAGGACATCATCTATTGGGTCCTCTTATACAACTTTTTGTATCCTTTTTTATTTCAATATAATCAGCCCTAAGGCTTCCATAATATATATATATATATATATATATATCTTGTTTTACTCACGATTGCCTAGGAGGTCATCCTAGTTGGATAAAATATAACATTCTGATAGAAAGAAAAAAATAACGCAATAGATTATGAAATCATCCACATATATCATTGAAAAAAGAGTCAATATTAATAGACTAATAATGTCTTTATATGATGACATACAAGCATCACTCATTAACTATTGCATTTGTAATCTGCTCTCATCACTAAATCATAACTTCAACATGCGTTTCATTCTACATGCAAGAGTTACCTATTTCACAATCATTTCGTAATATTGACTCCCCAAGCGAGTCATATGCTTTAGGAGGAACAATAGATTGATTTTGTTAGCATTTTTAAAATCAATTCAAATGTTGTAGGATATTGGCGAATATAATTATGGAGATTCATTTTTGCAGTCACAATCTTTACATGCTTCCTGAATAGATAGGCATACATCTTTTGAACTTTTGAAGAATAATATTTTTTTCCCAAACATCAAATATTCTTTTAATAACACCCCGTAAAGAACAATGCCACTTGTTAAGCATTTATTTTCTCCCCCAAACTACTTGTCTAGCTCGTTCAAAATCTGGTAGATGATATCTCTTCTCAAGATATGACTTAAATGCACATTGTAAAGATAATCAACATCACCAGAGAATATTTTTTACATAGAAATAATCCAATAATATATGTTAGAAAATTAGTTATAAAATTTACTTCTTTGGGGTTTCTAAATGTGAGGCGGGATAGGAAAATTATAATGACTATTTCGCCCAACAAACACTATTTTCTTTTTC